TTAGTTACTGTAAAAATCTAAATACATAAACAAAATTTGACTATAGCCACTTAGTATTGTACCATTCAGATTTGTGTCTGTAGGGTACTTAAACTAAATTTAAAATTCAGTTCAAACCAAAATTATAGTAAACATAGTTATATGTTGAGCCAACATAAACAAGTTAACATATAACTTATCACATCTTAATCTAAAAACTTATATATGAATATTATGGTACATTGTAGTCAATAGTGTAAATACAATTTTCCTAGCGGCTGCAGGCAGCAACACAAATAATACTATAATTAAGTCCACACAAAAAGCCCTGACAACAAACACATCAGTACCAGCAGTGAATAAGTAAGAACAAAAACATCACAACATTATAATTTATCGACATAATTACACAACTATAAACAAAAAATGGAAAATGCAATTTACACTGAAGTAGCATGTCAACACTTCTAGATACACTACTGGCACCACTACGGTTATTTCATATTAACTTTCTTTTTTTATGTAACTTACTTTTTACATCAATAACATCTATACATATAAATATGACATGGAAGTGGGTAAGATGATCTGCAGTCAAGATGTGGAATTCTTTAGATATTTCACTAAAACATGCAACTAACATTGGCATTTTTAAATTTGGTGTTAAGAGGCTCTTAGCCCTGAGACAGATTTAGCTATAATATATATATATATATATATATTGTATATCATTTAAGAATCTCTATTTGAGATCCAGCGCCGCCATTGATGCACGGTAGAGATTGCATCTTTAGATCTCCGATCTTGTTCACAAATTCACGGACTAGTGCTGTCTCGTAAGAATTTTGTATCTAGATGTGTATAAGAGACAGTACATGAACCGCTTCGTATCTTTTGAATTACTTTAAAGTTATTTTCTTTATTTAGTACTAAAGATAGTCCGTACCATGGTGCTATGCTCTAGAAAATTACTTTTGAAGATATATTTTTAAAGCAATTGTATTGTCGACACGCACGTTATTGTTTGGTTCTTTAAAGCTGTTTAACTATTTTGTACATGATTAGAATGACTTTGTATAAATATACTTCATCATTATACGTTTTATTGATGAAGTATATTTACACAACGTCATTCAAATCATATGAATATAGCAGATGATTGTTCTGTTGGCTTCAATATTTTTGTTTAACTTTCAATAACCACAACTAGTTTCTTAACACGTACTCAACCGCAATCTAAAACATTTCTGGTCCGCTTCACTGCCAGAGGGCTTTCCAAATTTTTTTTCAGCAGGTCGAAACAGTTTAGTATTCTTTAAATTAATTCAAGGCTATTTCCTTCATTTTAGGTATACATTTACGTAAGCTTTGTACCAGAGTACGATGCACTACAAATACTTTCGGAACATACTGTAGGGTAGTGGCCTTCATAAAATTACTAAAATTTGGGGTTTAGAGTTGAAATATTGAACAGAAACTTCAAAAATA